AAAATTGCTCAAACTTTTGTTTTCAATCATGATCTGTTGTGCATTTAAATCGACGCAAAACATGTTTGGTCAACGGTGACGTTGTGGACTTATCTACACATTTTTTTCGTTCAAAATTTTTAAAACCTCTTGTTCATGGGATAGATGTGAGTATGCTGGCAATTGAGGATAAGATTTGCAACAGTAGGTCTACATGTTTGTTTACTTGTGATTTCTGTTAACTCTTTGGTTGTTATAGATTTATTTAATTACTTTCTAAAAATAAATCTAAATATGCTTATATCTACTTGTTGTAATATTGGTGTAGGCCAGTTTGAAGATTTGACCATGAATTGCATAGTCGGTTGCTTCGTTGACAATAGTGAAATAGAAATATCACCATTTCTTGAAATAAATATGACACAACGCGATATGGGATGATTTATGACTGCTGCTAAGACAGACTAGAATTATGATACGGTGCATTGTGAATTGTATAGACACGGTTACTTTCATTTGGGCGAATGAATGTTTCTCATTCTTGAACCTCTCAAAAATCACTGAAATGGTTCGGAGAATCATACAATATTCAAAACGTCATATCTTTCCACAAAGATCCACACAACCATTCACGGAAACTTAGTTCACTCACAGGGTGTTCCTATTCAAATTTTTAGTAGTGCATGTCTACCTTTTCTGCAACGTTCACTCATACTTTATTACTGAAAATTTTCTTCAGCTAATGAAAAAGCATAATTCTTTGGATCAAAAACGAAGAGCTAAACAAGTGTAGAAGAGATGAATAACATACACAGAGAAAATGCTGATATAATTCATTCAAGTCCAGAAACAGTCATAGACCTGTTCTGAGTATTTGATCTGTGATTGATGTCTTCCTTTTTTTCTGTTTACTTAAACCGCGTTTTCTTCTGTTAATGTAAACTATTAAATGGTAGTGAGTAGGGGAAAAAAATTACGTGAAAAAGAAAAAGATTGATTTGAGTGAAGCTTATCTTCTCATACAAGGAAGCAACCGAGACACTTCCAAATAAAGAAGGCCGGTAATCGTTCTATTTCAGAACTTGATATTTGGGACTCGGCTCGACTAGTTGCAGCCAACTTGATATGTCCACTCCACCGCAGACTTCCCTGGTTTGATAGTATCTCATATTTGCCGAATCCGCCAATATTGGACACTATAATATCAATTGAATCTTGGTAATCTTGGAAGGTCGAACATGTCAACGCGAAGACTTTCTTCCTTTCTTTCTAATATAGATTGTTTACGAGGGAGAATCCCTCAACTGGATCACTGAATCAATTATCAGGAAGGGCTTGAAGTTCGTTCAACCTTTCATGCTATCCCCACATCGACGAGCTAATTCGGTAGAAACAGAGAAGCACCCTTTGAGTGTTGCGAACTGTTTTATCAGTGCGTTTTGTATCACAATATCTTTCTGAAATTTAGCAGAATGGAAGTATCGATGATCTCCTCAAAAGACCGTCGATAAGTCCAAATTGATCGTTTAGAGCCCACGCATGGCACACAGAAGACAGACCTTTCGTTCGTTGCGAAGTCAACAGTTGCCTCGGTTGACTTATAGTTAAAAACTATTTGGTTCAGGAAGAGTCCAGCCTCGATAAACCCGCCTGCTGTGCCAAATGGATCGTACATCGACCATCGAGACTGTAATATTCTCTATGTTTATTGATGTCATTTTCCATGGGGTCTTACGATGCAGGGATTCTGTGCCATCGAATCCGTGGTTGGATCGGGAGGAGGTGCTTGGAGCGATTCCTGGGTTCGTTCCGCTTCCAAACAAGAGGATTCAGAAACGTATGCGATGAGTCTTCACGACTTGTGTTCTCCACTCTTCAAGGGAAGGCCAAGAGCAATAGGGAACGATGACTTGACATTGTGACTTTGCAATTATCTCCCTTCAGCTATTTGATTCGTCAGCTCTGTACTTTACCTCTTTCTCCACGTCCACAGGGCAGGAATCAGGTATTTTCCCATCTATCCATACTTCCTCGACCCTATTCTCGTCGAGCTGCATCGACAAATGATGAGGTTAGATGCAGAGACGAACTTTTCATCGCATCGCATCGCTTTGCTCTATCTAATTATTCTTCTGTCAAGATTTAACCTCGCCGGCCCTTTGACCGTATCCGAGGTTCTGACCGCTGGAGAACAACACAAGAGGTATAATTTCAGCTAGACAAGAAAGCATGGGCTACGGCCTGAAGGCAGGATCCACTTTTGCTCCACACCGGGCTAAATTTAACTCGAGAAGATTGCCCAACCAAAATACGCCTCTAAACGCCATGTCTTTTCGTTCCAACCATGGGCATTGCTCGTCGGTGCATGATTTGAGCCCCCAGAGCCACAAATAACATGAGAACCCGCAATCCAAGGGACGAACCAGCCACAGAAAGCAGGGATGCAGATAAGAAGGCAAAGAAGGCCTCAGAACGAATGAGTGGAGACAGCGGATCCGCAAACCACGAGCAAGTAGGACATGTTTGTAGCCTTGTGTACTCAAATGCTCGTTCGTCCAACTCTTTCTCTGGTCAAGCAGCTCTTGCTGAAATAGATGGGCGACTCCCACAGACAGACCATCGGTTGTTCCTTTTGCAGTCGTTTCTTCACTCCCCATCGCTCCCGTGCTGGCTCGTGCAAAATTTACCCTCGTTCCAAGTGAACAGGCATCATTCACTTGGTCTGCTGCTTAACGAGCTTTCGATCCCCTTGCTGGTCAAGCTCGGTCCGCTGACTCCGGTCAATGCACGCTGGCCAGCCACTTTCCAGTACAGTAACCAGCTCAGTTCGTTTCTCATTGTGCACATGCACAATACCGTCATAAATGTTATTAATGATCTTATAACCCAGCAACTGGAACACAACTAAGTATGCTGATCCAGCCTTCGTAGACTTGCATACCTGTTAATATACTTTGTTAGTATGCTCGAGAACTACCATGGTGATCAATTGCCCTACGACCACACGATATCCTACAAAAACCATCTGCAATAATTACCATTAAGAAATTCCAGTCGACATACTCTGATTTCGAGAGCGAAACAAGTTGGAAAAGTACGGATTCACGAGGGATAGGTAACGATGAAACGTGTGAAGTATTTACAACCAAATGATCTTACAATCAAAAAGATTTCTGCTATTTCTACTTTAATATCTCAAGATAAAGATGGTGAAAGAAAAAGATGATTTAATTCTTATTCGATGTGTGCTCATAAGAAATGTCGGAACATATAGATTATCTGAAATATATTCAAGGTTTATTATATGGAGATCATAAAGTACAGCATTAACATGGAAAGAACAAAGTTCCACCATTTACGAAGGTTTCATTCGACTTTAATTCTGAATTAATCAGCATATAATGTCTAGCACATTGACTCAAACATTGAGAGTAGGTGAGAAAATTTGCAAAACTTTAACCTTCAAGTCCGAGATAAGCATAAGAAGATGAAAATTAAAACAAACGGGTTCGAAGTCTAATTTGTCGAAGTGACACGGTCTCTATCGAAGAAGACACCCGTTTCCTTACGTAAGTCATCCAAAGCCGGTGCTCTAGTGTAGAAAGGTGAAACGCCAGAATTGGAGATAGAAGCTAGTAAGAAACATGAGGTGCTATGAGTATCGATATGATTAGAGTAGTCCTTTGTGATCACATATGATTAGATCACATATTAAAGTGCAACACTTAGCAATGCGATGTAGCTCTTGATTTCCCAGTATGACAAGATGATATCATGAACAGCGTAGTGCTCTGACGCCTGATGTTACGAGTAATAGGTTTTCAATACCATCTTTGAGTTCTTGAGTGCTGTATCACTGGAGTGGATATCTAATGTCTTTTGACTTCTTCTGAAAGAGAATTTATTGACACAGGAGATAATGATAAACAACAATATGGTGTGTTCGAGGCAAGACAACTAAAGGAACCACATCGGGCTGGTTATGCCTCTTTTTTCGGAGGAAAGGTTGTATATGTATTCACCGTGCTTTGTGATTAGGTGGTTTATCGCGAGGTTGTGACTTGAGAAATCTGATACGTGGTGTTGTGCTCTGTGAAGTGTGGGGTAGTATGAACCATTTGTACATTTGACTTGCTGAGTCATACAAGGGACAGTAAGATGAGGAGTATTTGTTAAGGTAGTCGTGGTATTTCGGGCAGGGATTTTGAAGACTCAAATGCAGCGTTGAATCATATTAATACTTTCTGGGAAAAAGCATGTTACCTTAGGGGGACTAAAATTTTACTCGTTCGTCTACTACGATTTGCTCGCATCATCGGACAATTATTTGATTGTGCAGGCTGACTGACATTCTCAAATACTGTGGCTGGCAGTTCTGGATGGAAAGTCAATAATATATGCCTAGATATGGACGCTTCGAAGCTGAAGGCTCTGCAGAGCGGAAAGCAAAGTCAATTTAATTGCCAAGATATGGATGATTCCAAGCCAAAAGCTCTGCAAACCGGACAGGTTGACTTGGTTTATGACACTCTTCCAAGAACTAAAGAGCAGGCTGTCGAACAGACCTTGGGGCACATTGCATGGCCTTATCAAGATCTCGTTCGTGTTTTCTATCTGAAACAGTACCTCGGGCTGATCACAGAACCTCCAGGCGTCAGGTCCTCGATTTTCGCGTCTCAGACAAGCCCTGGAGGGCAACGGGAAATTTTTACATAAGGTAGGCATCAAATAATAAATTCGAATCAAAAGACAACCCAAAAGGAGCAGGCCATGTCGATGGCCAACTTATGAAAAGGTATCCTATGAACGATTTCACTGCCTAGAACCGAAGGAAATAGGCATGGTTTTGGACTTCACCAAAAAGCATCTTTCGTAAGTTACATCTATCTGAACCTTACTATTTACATTCCACGATGTAATTCATCTGTAAGTTAAATTATGTACTAATGTATAAAGAACATATGAGGTGGATCGTGTCCATGCATGTTCTAGGAGGGATATAGCCAAAAGGTAAGTTCTTTCCCTTTCTCTGCCCTTGGGGGAAAAGATTCACTTCTGTGGAACATCGTTTAAGACAAAAGGGAAGCATTCTCAGCAAAATTGTAAGCATCCATCGTCGAATTCTTCTGAGAATCTGCTCTCGGAGGATAAGGAAATAATTCAAGGACGGACACATCCTGTGTGAGGTCAAGAACTGATTATCCTCTAATGTACTTGGTGTATCCACATAGCCGTTGAAAGCTTTTCATCACGTTTGCGCATATTTTGTCAATCTAGAGAACAGTGACTTCTAAAGTTCGTTAGGTATGACCATAGTCTTCAGTCTAATCCTTCGGTTTACCTTGTACCAAGAGTTCTAATCTCCATGTGAAAGTGCGATATCCTTTCCTTAGGTAGAGGATTTACAAAGGTTGTCACTCCCGAGGTGCATCAATTTGGGTGTCCTTACCTGAATCAGGCTCACTCTGAACTATCCATTATGATATTTTGTTTTTCTTGATGCTCCATGTTTGGCACTGGTCCACCGAGTTGAGGTTCCGCTGTGGAAAAGAGCGTCTCCTTGTGAGTCCAGGAAAAGAAGCATGCAGCGGCAGAAATGCTGTACCAAGGCCCCTTCCTCCTCGTCATGGATTCGGACCTTTCACCATCATGCACTTCCTCTGCCTCCATCTGTCGTGAGTTCGTTCGATGTGCCCAATCCATGCGCCACAGAAGAAAAGTGATTGTCACCCAAAAGTTACCGCGGAGAGTTGTGACTTCACCTATTCCAATGGGGGGTCAAGCGCGAGCGAAGAGGTAACTTCCCACAGTGGAACCAGATGAACCAAATAAAGCGTTGGACAACACTCCGAGCTGGTCACGGACTCTGCTGGAGAAAATGCTGCAACCACAAACATCCTTCCGGATCCATGAATTCGTGATCGCCGCGTTTGTCGTTCTCCTGCCCAGCTTGCTCCCCAGAAAGCTGGAACAGCCAAGCCAAGCCATGCCATGCCATGGCAAGCGGCCGGGCTCTCTACAGCAGCATTCGCGTGTGTTTCTCTTAAGAGTTCTTCTGCCGAGCCCTCGCCCCGTTCCGCATGCCGCGTACAGTGTGGAAAGTCGACTTCTGCCGTGTTCAGATAGACTTGCGTGTTAGCCCTACGAAAGGAACCTTGGATCTTGTCGCAGACCGGCTGAATTGAGCACCATCTACGGCGAACGCATGCCATCGCACGGCCGATCTTCCTCCCTCCTCACGTCCTGTCCGAGAAATAGACAGGGCAATCGGTGGGATTCGATTCGCATAGCGAATGGAGTTCTCTCTCTCTCTCCCGATGAGAACGACCCACTTTATCTCCGATTTTTAGCCTGCTCGGGACGACGGACGGTGGTCCATCATGAGGAGTGAGCAGAATCTTCGCTCTCGTCAAAAGAAGCAAAAAGGGGCTGCAAATGATTATCGTCCTCCGGATGGTAATCGCTTTATAGAGCGATCGATAATCGACGTGTCCGCAACGATGCGCTTGGGGGGCATTGGTCGACGCTGCCTTCTCGGTTTGGTTATCGTCCGGGACGTTGCCTGCGGGGTGTTCCTGTAACGAAGGCCCCGGGGGGGTCCGGTGGGGGCTGCCCTCGGGCCCCGGAATTATCCGTCTCCGACAAGTAAGAGCTTTGTTACCTAATCTCGAGTTTGTACAATTCAAATTTCCCACGTGAGACGGTACTTTGGGGATGGCTGGGAGGTACGGCAGCGGGGTTACGGAGTGCAGCGGAAAGGATCGCCGCCGTGGATCTGCGAGCGGAGCCCGCCGTCTTGCGGAATCAGAGGACGCCGCATGGCATCTGCTCGGCAAACGCAGCGGGCGAGCCTGACTGACCCTTTCGCTCGTCGGGGAACCAACTCTCCCTCCACTTGCTGCCACCTCGGCCGACGAGTCCAGGGCGGACGGCGTCCGCGCGAAGCGCTGCGCTCGCGTCATCTTCCACGTCAGCAAACGGTCCGCCGAATCGGCGAAGTTCTTGCCACATCGGCCGACGAGTAGGCAAGAAGAAGAAGAAGATGAAGCAGAAGGGCTGGTGAAAACTCTTGATTTGAAAATTATGTCTCGGGTTCGAACTCGGCGCCCTAACCCGGGTCACGGGGCACGAGGGGCCGGATTCCCCGTGGTCAGATTTGGCAGATGGTAAAGGGGAGCTCCGCGCAGCAGCGAAAGTCTTTTGACAGATTGACGCAGAGGGAGGAGAGCTCGGACTGGAGGAAGCGAGGGAGGGAAGGGAGGCAGGGAGGGAGGCGGAGAAGCGAGAGGGAGAAGAGGGAAGGTGGAGCCCGTCGCGTGTGTTTGAAAACTCGAATAAGGCGCAGCCGAGGATCTGACCGAGGGCGTAAAGAACTGCACTGCTGCTGCTGTTGCTGCGGGGCATCTGTGCTCGGATCCGCCATTCGGAGGCTGTTGCGAAATCGTGAAGTAGCGAGTCGAGTCGAGTCTGGGGCCTTTGTAGCTTGCTTGTCGGAAGGGAGGGAGTGCGGAAGCGAGAGCCACTGTGAGGCGTGGCTCGAGAAAAGAAATCTGTGGGTCGCCCTGGTGCAGCGTCGGGACGTGATAAATTGAAGCAGCGCGAGCAGGTCCATCTGTCCGACACGCCAGTCGGGAAATTACGTCCGCCGAGGCGTTTCCTGGAGCAATTGTGTTGTGCATTTTTTTCCTAGGCGATCCGTCGTACCCTTCGCGTGGTCCTGGCTTTGATTCAGCTCGAGGTCCAGGACGGATAAAGAGAGCTGGGTGGCTCGTATGCGGATTATGCAGAGAAGAATGATTTGTAACGTTCATTATAGGACTAGAAATCGGATTTTACGTGGGAGTAGTTTTGATTGAGAATCAGCTCAAGTGTAGACGATCGCAGGGTGCGATTGTCGAAGTTGAGCTGGTCGATAGAATCGGGCGAACAGAAGGGGAAGGGGGCAAATGTTATGAAGTGAAAGTACAAGGACTCTTACATGATCTTGCGGGTAGGCCTTGCGGTTACATGTTCTGTAGCGGCGTTTACCGTTACCCACCTCATCGGCAAGCGCGAGACCAACAATCCTGACTCAGGTGCTCTCTCTCTCTCTCTCTCTCTCTCTCTCTCTCTCTCTCTCTCTCTCTCTCTCTCTCTCTCTCTCTCTCTCTCTCTCTCTCTCTCTCTCTCTCTCTCTCTCTCTCTCTCTCTCTCTCTCTCTCTCTCTCTCTCTCTCTCTCTCTCTCTCTCTCTCTCTCTGATTTTAGTTCCAGGAGGCTGTTCTCATCTCTTTCGTATTTTATGTTGATGGCCAGATCGGCAGGAGAAGAAACGGCGCAATGATGAATTCGAGTCGGAAACCTACGCCTTCGTTCCCGTTGACTCTGCGCCTCCGAAGGAAGAGGTCAGTTTGGTGCGGTGTCCTTTCTCTGATATGTGCATAATCAATCGTCTGAATGTAAAGAGCGACAATTGTTTTTAGATTTCTTTACGTTTGTACTTTCAAGTAAGCTAAGTGGAGATCTCTGAGGGATGCTGTCAGCCGGCTTTCTGTAGAGAAGCGACTGGTCGATATGCTATCTGTACTTGTTCGTTCAGATATGAGTCATGGATTGGTGCCTTCTCAGTCGGCACGTATATCTTATCGTGTACCAGTTCAACAAGTACTCTGTCATGTAGCGAGGCCGTCTCATGCTCAAGAGGATGAATGAAATTGCAGGAGGAAGAAGTCAAGAGGGTAAACGCCATCAGTCCAGCAGCCAGCGTCACGTCGCTCGCATCGCTTGCGTCATTCACGAGCGAACAAAATGCGGATCAGTTGCTTCTTCCTGAGTTCAAGGACCTCATATCATTAGACTTGCCCCATGAAGGGGGCGAGTATGGGAAGGCTCGTGACGGCAAGAGGTACCGAAGGGTCCCTGGACCTCTCACCAGAAGAAGCACAGACCACGCTCCTTCTGATGACGATGAGCCCGTTATCGAGGTGCCTGAAGAGTACCTCATGGAAGATGAAGAGGGTCGCAGAGATTCTTCTGATCTTTTTGAGTACGATTTCAAGGACTACGTGGATACGTTGGCAAACGATGTGGAGGAGCTTGGGCAGTTGAGGATTGCTGTCAAAGAATTGAGGGAGAAGGAAATGAGGATGGAGGGTGAGCTGTTGGAGTACTATGGCCTGAAAGAAAGAGAGAATGATATCATATTGATGGAGCAGGACTTGAAAAATAAGGCCATAGAAATAGCTTCGCTGACCGCCAAGGTAGCTGCAATGGAGGCGCGAGAACTTGCAACTGCTGAGAGACTAAAGAAGGAAACGTACAATGTCGAGGAACTCAGGAAGGAAGTCGTCAACATTGAGAACCTGAGAAGGGAAATTTCCAGTGTTGAGACTCTCAAGAAGGACCTCAATGAAGCGCGAGCGAAAATCCGTGAGCTTCAAAAGCAGTTGCACAGTGAGTCCGGTCAGGCGAAGGCCGAGCTAATCATGCTCAAGCAGACATTGAAGGAGCTGCAGCTAAAGGAGCAACAAAGTGAACCTAAGGAACAGAGGGATCTTAAGAAAGATATGGAAATTGAGAAGAAGCTACAACTGCTGAAAGAGTTAGAAGTGGAGGTTGTGGAACTACGGCGCACGAACAAGGAATTACAGCACCAAAAGAGGGAACTTTTTGTCAAGCTCGGAGCTGCGGAGAACCAAATTGCGCAATTATCTAAAATTTCCGAGGTGAGACAACCCTCTGCTGCGCACTCTGAAATAATTCAGCATTTCTCTGATTATGTTTGGGGTCAGTCTTCACTTTGTACACCCGTTACTTCGTCTGTGTTTATCGCTTACCATCTTTTGTTTCTTCTCTTTTGCTTTTCCAGAGTGACTTGGTTGTTAGAGCAGAGGAAGACGCTGCGGCTTTAAGGCACGCAAACGAAGATCTCTGCAAACAGGTTGAAGGATTGCAGTCCAGTCGTTTTAGTGAGGTGGAGGAACTTGTGTACCTTCGCTGGGTTAATGCTTGTTTACGATATGAATTACGTAACTCCAGACCTCAAGATGGCAAGTCCGGTGCCCTTGATTTGAATAAAGACCTCAGCCCAAGGTCCCAGGCACGAGCTAAACAGCTCATGTTGGAGTACGCTGGTCCGGACGTTGAGAAGATGCGACCGAAGGACGAAGATGGCTACGAGAGTTCGACTTCAGAGCCTTCGATCTCATCCGAATTGAGTGACTTCCACGATCTTAGTGCTGACAGTTTTTCGGGTGCGCGGACATCCTCTGTTAGCAGTAGCGGAAGGAAGTCACTGATAGGAAAACTGAAGAAGTGGGGAAGTGCCAGAAAGGAGAAGGATGGCGATGCGCATGACTTGGGAAGTCCCGGTTCCAGCGGTAGGAGTAGTCCTGGTCATTACAGACAAGCTAGTGGTGGTGGGACTCCTAGGGGACCTCTGGAGTCACTTATGCTGCGCAACCTGAGCGACGGCCCCCATGAAATTACCGCCTTTGGAACAAGGAAAGATGAATCTCCAGGTTCAGATGGTGGAAGATCTCCGAGCAACCTTTCAATAACCAAGGCCGGTTTGAAGCCCGTCAAAACAAGGGAGAAACCAGATTTCAGTGGAGTAGCAACTTCTTTCAGTCTCATGGCTAAAACTGCAGGGCCACTCGATGAGAAATACCCGGCATTCAAGGACAGACATAAAGCAGCCGTGGAGAGAGAGAAAACGATCAAGAAGAAGGTTGAGGAGAAGATTGAAGAGGCAGCTGCTGCCAAGCGTACGGAGGTAGTCAAGATGACACCCGCAGAAATCGAGAAGAGAGCTCTCAGGGTACCTAAACCTCCTCCCAAGCCTTCGGCCTCTACACCAGCAGCCGGCCCAGCTATTCCTAGACCCCCGGGAGCTGGAGGGCCTCCTCCCCCACCTCCTCCTCCACCTCCTCCAAGACTTCCAGGTGCTCCTGGTGCTCCTCCACCGCCTCCACCACCTCCTCCTCCTGGTGGTAAACTTGGAGCTAGTGTTGGTGGAAATAAGATGCAACGGGCTCCAGAAGTTGTAGAATTCTACCAGTCTTTGATGAAAATTGGTGCGAAGAAGGAGCTCGCTGCCTCCGGTGGGAATTCCGCTGAAGCAAGGAACAACATGGTCGGAGAACTTGAGAATCGCTCTGCGCATCTCTTGGCTGTAAGTATTGACATTTTAGAAATAACTTATCGTTTGAAAAACCAAAGTTACTTTCTGGTTTGGATATTCAAGCTTCTACAGAGTTGTACTGTGATCATAGCTAAGACTGAACTTCTTCTTCTATGTGACAGATTAAAGCGGACGTGGAAACACAGGCAGATTTTGTTAAATCGTTGGCCACAGAAGTCAGAGGAGCCCAATACACCGATATTGAGGACGTCGTGGCTTTCGTCACCTGGCTCGATGATGAACTCTCTTTCTTGGTACGACTTCTGAACCTGCTCGTGTGTCTGATTAGAGGTCGGGAAGTCAGGAATCTTATACTCTGATGGAACTGAGGTCGTTGGATTTGGAGCTGCTTAGTCTGAAGGCCTCTACGAGCAAACAAATGAAGTGGCAAATAAATATTGAAAAAAGACGTGTAAAAAAATGAGAGTTACTATCGGTATGAATTTGTGCATGCAGATTGATTAATCAACCTTGGGACTTCGTTGTGCAGGTTGACGAGCGTGCTGTCTTGAAACACTTTGATTGGCCAGAGAACAAGGCTGATGCTCTGCGTGAAGCCGCTTTTGAGTATTTAGACCTTAAGAAGCTTTGTACGGAAATATCCACTTATGAAGATGACTTGCGGGTTCCAACAGATTCTGCTCTGAAGAAGATGTTGGCTGCTCTAGAGAAGTATGTTTCTGAACATACTGTATACATCTTTTCATCTTTAATACCAGCCTTTTGGTTAGAGTATTTCCAGAGTGCCATAAGCGGATTCGATAGGAGTAAACGACAGTCGAGCGGTGCTTGGAACTTTTCAACTTGTATTATAGTTCTCGCTCTAGAATATCTCGTTGTGTCCTCGAATCCTTGACACTGTAAAGCTGACGAAGATCTGTGTCTTTCACAGGGTCGAGCAAAGCGTGTTTGCTCTTCTTCGGACGAGAGACATGGCGATGGCTCGATACAAGGAGTACAGCATACCTACCAACTGGATGTTGGATAGTGGGTTTATTGGCAAGGTATAATAGAAGTCAAAGTTAAAGAAAATCCGAGACTTGATTGTTTGCAGCGAGTAAATATTGTATTCTTTATATCGAAAGGTTGTCCAGACCTTCCGTGAAAATTTGAGTTTATGATGAAATGGTGAACCCACTGACATTCTTTCCCACCGTGTGAGCAGATCAAGCTTGCTTCTGTAAGATTAGCTAAGCAGTACATGAAGAGAGTAGCTTTGGAGCTGGACACTCTGGGCAATGGTCCAGAGAAGGAGCCAGTGCGGGAGTTTTTCTTGCTGCAAGGTGTTCGATTCGCTTTCCGAGTACACCAGGTAACCATCTATCTCGCTTTGATAATTCTCGGAACTTCCGTTGTGATCCCTGTGTAAGTCTTTGCTTTCATGGTTTTAACTCGTTTTGGTATTTGTTTTCTCAGTTTGCTGGTGGTTTCGATCCCGAAAGTATGAAAGCATTTGAGGAGCTACGCAACCGGGCCCATAAGAGGGTTACTCCCGAAGCAGCGGCAGAGGAGACTTGATACACCATCTAAACTCTACTATGGCTGTGAGGTTTTGCCATATGACGTCATCTAATCTGAAAGGAGCTCTCCCTCTTTTCTATTTAAAGTGAACCAGGGAGTGCTGTCTGAATTTTTGTCTGAAAGAGTCAATGAACGTTCTGAAAGGTATCGTGATCTTCTGATGCATGGATGGCATCTCGTGCCGCTTGTGCTGAAGAGGACGGGCTGAAGATGGGTGCTTTCACTATCGTGAGAATCACCCAGAGCGTACACTTTGCTCATGGAACCTGTCATTGTTAGCTGTCCGGCCGCTTGTAGCATAAGAATTCTAGAGAAGTTGGCATTTGTGTATTTCCGCATGGTTTGGCCGTGCCAGTTTCCTGCCCGAATTGTCGCTGCTCTTTGTAAACTGGCTTCTGTAAGTTCACAAAACTGTCTCTCTGCTCTTCTCTCCTATCTGCACGCAAAGAGAAAGTCAGTGACGGGAGATAACGACAACAAAATGACCCATCAATAGTGGACTCTCCCGAGTTGTTTCCTCCGAACCGTCTCAAAAATGTGCCCATATTTCACAGGGAAGGGGTGCCGCTTGCATGATGCTATTCCATCCCAACGTCTTCTTAACTGTCCATAAGATTTTGTATATGAATAAAGGATCGAAATTACTTGAAATCCTCTGTGTAATTGACCGATGGTAATGTCAGCAGTTTCTTTGTCCAGTCTAAATTGTCTAGCGATGGTACGAAGTTGTCCGGAGCTTGCGTTTATGTGATACTCGACAGTGAATCTATGTTGTCGTGAAATACTGCTTCTACGGATCTTGTAGCCTGATCATCTGTTGAATGCCGGTGCAACGTGAACCGGAAGTTTCTCGCTGCCACTGTTGGACGGGTCTTCGATTCATATCATATGCTCCTGATCGATATGTCTTTCCACTCACCATTGTGTTGTTGGATCTGACATTAAATTTGATTAACAGCAAAGACCGGACCACAAATGCATATTGACATTGGCTGTCCAAGTTGTCAACTAGCATCGTACGTAGCAGGCGTGTGTTGACTGGATAAAGGAATCAATCCCCTTACTAGTATTATGGTCAGTGACGTGCGCACTAACAGAGAAGAATGTAAGCCTATGGAACTGACTTCATTGTGTGGTGTGTTGCCAAAAGAGTATACAGCAGGAATGTTCACGAAAGGATCATGGCACGAGCAATGACTCGTTTGATAACACTTGTAATACTACTTCAGTGGAGTACGTTGAGAATTCACTGTCAACATCTGAATATGATAAATTTCCAGAAATTAAAGGTTATATGTAAGGTACAATTTTCTATAACTGTGTGTCTTTTCTATGTGTATATAAATGTTATCGACCACTATCATCAAATAATATTTTCTTTTGTAAACTTGTTTCTGACAACTATTATTAAAAATTAGAAAATTACACAATCAAAATAAAATATAATATTAAACAATTCTATTTCCAAATTTAAACAAGATATAACATATAATTAACTCATCTCACTCATTTCACATCTCATAAAAAAACATTATTTGAACTATAGAATATTAAAAATATTTATAATCTAATTAAACTCACACGATACTATTTATAATGTGATATATATGTTCCCATAAATATGTGAAAATTTATATAAAGTAACATAAATATATACATCTTGATAATTAAGAGAAAAATTAATAAAACATGTCATTTGTATAAAAAGTAAGATTTTTTCGTTTTTTTTCTAAGCAATAGGTGAGTTTATTCCACTGCAAAATGAATCAAGTACACCACGCATAGCTGAGCAAACACAAAGTCAACCGGCAATAACTCCAAGAACTACCCATTTAGAAATAAAATACCTCCGGAATCTATGCATTGTCATGAGAGTCAATGGAAGTGGGAGCGGGGCCAGGAATAACCTGCCGCCGAAAGTTCCACCAAGGCTTCTTTGCCCACCATGAGAATAACAGGACCTTATGGTCCCTAATACCTGGCGCTGCGCATTGTCAATGCCCATGGGTTGGTGCCGCTAGGTCCAAAGCACTTTGGCCCATGTCGTGCGAGCCAAATCCAACAATGCATTCCACATGATTTGTTCAAGCAGTGTCAAGGGCCATGTGTGATCATGGAACAAGCGATGATTCTGTTGCAACCAAATAATCCTTAGAGCATCACCTCGGATCAACAACCAAGCCGATATATTCTCCTGCAAGGGTTGATGAATATCTTCCTCAAAAATGCATTGTTGTCATGATAATTCTCGAAAATGCGAGGGGACAGCTTTGTCGCAGCCCCCGATGTATATGAAACTCGTCTGTGCCGAGGCCGTTTATGGAAACGGTTGTAGCAACGTTAGTGAGAAGCATCTCCACCATTCAAACAAATGCATGTTGAAGTTCCATGCGAGACATGGCATGAAAAAGGAAACTCCAACTAACCGTGTGATAAGCCTTACTGAAGTCAAGCTTCAGCATAATTAGCGGTTGCTCGGACGCTTGGGCCCATGCGATAATTTCGTGTTGTAAAAGGATTGTGTCGATGATATAACAAGCCGGAAGAAACGCAGCTTGACCATCGTTGATTAATTCAGGCAGGAGTTTCCTACGCCGCTTCTAGAGCACTTTCGCAAAGGCTTGTACGATAGGTTCAAGAGCGTGATAGGACGTCAGTGTTCAATAAACTCCATGTCGCCTTCTTCCGAAAGAAGGACGATCAATCCAGTGTTTGTGCTCGATGGCAGCAAGCCTGCCAGAATGGCCCGGTGGATCATATTAGTGAAATTCATTTTGATGAAATCCCAGAATGTTGAGTAAAACTCAAGAATCACGCCATTGAGGCCTAGGCTCTTGCCAACTGCCATGGTTTTAAGAGCCGTCTGGAATTCAGCAACGTCCAGAACTCGCTCCAGATCATCAACACGGACGCTGGAAATTGTTCGGAGAATGAGGCCTGAAGGCTTGAAAGAAGTGATGTCTTCCCTGCAGTCTGATGTGCAGCCAACGGTGGCACCGCATATAACGCGATGTAGTATGTCAGTGCGCATTGCTCAATTTCATCTCTGTAGGTGATCGAGTGTCGTGCGCGTCATGGAGCGCGGAGATGCACGCAGAGGAGTTTTTATCCCGAACCGCACGGAAAAACTCATGGCTCACTTGGTTACCAAGTAGTTTGTAGTGGATTCTTGAGCTCGCCTTTCTACATGCAATCATGCGTTCCTTGGTCTTAAAGAGACGGAATCTTAGAGCGACTCTTTGATTCATGAGAATCGGATAATCTAGGTCCTTTTGAGCTCAATTAGTGGCTTTTGCAAGTGCCTCTGGCAATGCCACCTTGTCTGCTCTAAAGGCGGATGCCTTTCGCCGATAGAATTTTCAGTAAAAATGAGTGATTTTCCGCAATCTGGAGAAGAAGGTGGCCGTCAGAGGAGCTGACATCCAAATCTCAACAATTTGAGGAGTGGCTTGTTTGAACCAAGAAGGATTCATCTTCCAATGAATTTGACACGCTGGCTTTGTCGCTAGTTGGACCGTTGCAAATAGTGGTGGATGATCCGATCTTGGAAAATCACTTCGAAAACTACAATGAAGTAGGATGCGATCAGGTGTCGCGAGAGTTTATCAAAATAGGTACAATCTATCCAATCGTGTCATCGCTCGAGCTTCGGCCGGTCTGTTGTTGTTACGAGAGTATTTTAAACTCCCGAAAGTCATGCGGTTATGCACAACGTTCAGCGTGGTCTTCATGATCTCGAACAGTGTTCCCCCCAAAGTGAAATCATGGATGCGTCACGCCGGAACTTATCTATCCAATGTTCAACCATGTTATAGTCGTCGAGTAGCATCCATTGACATCCACAAGGTAGGTTGAGAGCAAGGGCGATCCACAGCAAGCAACGTGAGGAAGCATCATTGGAAGCGTATATGTTGTCTATGTCGATGTCACCGCCCGTCATGTTAGTGAAGATCATCCATTGAACTCTGTTTCCGAACATAGACCGGTCCTGTTTATTTTTTGGGCCCATCTGGATGTACAAAGGTCCAAACTCCCCCACACCCCACCCGAGGGTCGTGGGCGTCATGTCCGTAACCAAGCGAGGCCTTCAGGCCGTGAGCAATTGAAGATCTTCATAGTCGTTGACCAATGTGGGTAAAAAAAATTCCCACAAAGTTTCTGTTTTTGTAGTGCGACAAAATCTTGAGAGAGGTTACACTTGCTGATGTAGTACTGTAAAGCGTCCATGCTGAATTCTCATTCAAGCCGCGAATGTTTATCATCAGCAGGTTTATTATCATTCTGTCTTCGAAGGAGATTTTGCGTCTTGAGCACGTGTTGGTGTCAAATTTCTAAACCTCCATATATTGTAGGAGAAGGGCGATTTTGGTTGTGTGGACATTTTTAGTCTTGCAACTATCCTCATATCCCTTATAGAGGAGGAACTACTTCTCACTGGGTTGCGGTCGGTTGATGGTGCCGAGATCGTGGCCAAATTCGGATTGGCTTTGTTGTCTAGACGAGTAGGGGAGCTGGCACAACTGAGTTATCGTCAATCAAGAGCTTTTTGACGACTTTTAACATATGCCTAAGAGGTGGGGCCGAAACCGGAATAGAATTCTCTTGGTCAACTCTGGTCAGAAAGGACGAAACTGAAGGGAGATTCATACTTGTGTCTTCAAAAGGATAAGCCTCGCTTCATGATAGTATGAACCTTGGGGCTGGACTCGATGAAGCAGGTTGAGGCGTTGCGGCATTCGTCAAGAGGCTGGTCGTCATGATGACTGGCAAAGTGTCAGGTTGTTGTAGTGTTGCGGCTTGGCCAGTGTGAGAATCGGGATCTGAAAAGCCTATCAACTCCGAGAGTGTTGTACTTGGCACGACCTAGAGGGGGAGCCAGCTCTCGAGTCAGCGTTCATATCCTATGTCATCGTGATGTCAAAAGATGTCGTGAATCGTGCGTCTTCATTACTCTGTGTCTATATGGTTCTTTGATTCTCCGGAATCGCTCCCATCAGTTCTATTCAAAGTCAAACGTCAATCGGGAATTCCGATTAGAATAATGGTTTTCGCTCCGGTCCGTTTAATTCAATGGATCGTTCGGGTCAAGATAATGCTCGCTAGATTCTTCCATCACAGTATCCTCCGCGAGTACTGGTTTTGTGTGGTCAGATTGGGCAGCAAAATGAACGACGAACCTGCGCTAGGACTGCTGACAGTCACTGGTGCTACAAGAGGAATATCCCATTGAAACGGCCGCGAGCTTGCTCGTGGAGGAGCAAGCTCCGGTGATTCATGAAAGAACCGCACTGGTATAATTTATCCTTGTTCTTGTTGAAATAGTTTCACTGTTTCTCTGTCGAATAGAGGTCTATCAAAGACAGTTAGTATAATGGGAAGCCTGGCATGTGACATCGGCTCTAGTGCAGTCATACCCTATTCTATTTGACACCATAGTGCATCTTTGTAACTTGTTTTGGAAGTGGCCATCTTGCCAAATCCTAGCCTTATCTTCCTCAAGAATGGATGAAAGCTATCAAAAAGCCTCTCAAAAGAACCAGAGTGGAAGAGCGAACAAGAATCTAAGAGTCAAGCCACACGACTAGCACCAGTAGTGAATCCTCGCCGGTCATTGGCGGGCCAGCCGCCTCCTTTATC